GTCATCTCCATCATTTCTGCCCGATAATGTTCTTCCTAAGCTTTTCTTTTTGGACAAGAGTGATTTTTGCCCCCGCAGCTTTTCTCGAACTTCCTCCCGATCAGGTCGGACAACTGTAACTGCTTCTTTTAGTGACAGATATCATATTTCCAAGCATATACTTACAATCTGGGTTCATGCCAACGAGCAAACATTTCCGGAATCGACAATATCGACAAGCGTTGCGCTCAACTAGAACAAACAACTGGATCAGATAACACAAAGAAAATATCACTTAAAAATTGTTTGGAAGTTTCGCAGTGCAAGTCGTATCTGACAAATTTTCGTTAAGTTTATTAATAGGGCAGTCTATGTGTATCAATGAAGTTAAGACAAAAATGCCACAGAATACAAAAAAAAATGGAAATCAGGTAATATACCCTTGACTCACAAAAACTTTATATGTCACCTGTAAAAATAATTGAATCATTATTTATATATTTAGTAAACACTGTAGCTTGTGAATTTTATCACATACATAAATTAAGTTTTGGACTTTTCAAAAAATACCTACATTTGGTAACCTCGCAATTTTTATCGAATCTGCACACATATTTGTTCCGTCCATCTTTAACAGCTCGACGAAAAAATCCTTTACAGCCAAAGCATGCAAGTACACCATAGTGGATCTGTAAAACTACGACCCAGATAGGAAAATTTGGCATACAGTTTGGGTCACTCCATGATTAAAAGTATGTATAGGTCCACCTCTGATCGGAATGTTCCTGCTATTTGCAGAAAAAAATAGATGTACAAGATCACAAGCTTAAAATTTGCGGGGACATGAATAATTTTCAATTATTCTCCCCATTTCTGCAACTTCATAGGTGTGATCTACCATAAGAACACTATATGGTATCAAAAGTAGCCAAATGTACCTCATCCTCGACGTCACATTCCTATCGCAGGAACCCGAAATCACAGAAGATGGAGGAGTTTTGGCACACTTTATAAACTCCAAAAATTAATCACAAAGAAGAATACATTGCCATCACGAAGGAGCTGCCCGTATCAAACCATTTGTGGGTTTCGATCTTTGGGTAAAGTTAGATACAAGCCGAATATAAGGGCTATGCAAAGTTAGATTCTAGTAACGGCGCTAATCACAGATGGTTTGCTGGCGTTCCATCTAGAATGGCTATCGAGGCAAGCATCGGCTCGTATTGGCTCTCTCTTACCATATAAATAACTGAATGGTGAACTGTGTATTTGTGGAAAGGCTGAGTACTGAGAATGGGTCGCAAATGTTTTTAATATCTTCAGGCTCTGAAGAAGGCGAAGGGGCCGAAATGTCAGCCCGATAAATGAAGTCTTTACCAACCTTGGCAAACGCTAAAAGAAATTTGGAAA